TGAAACCAAACCTACGTCCTTGTATTAAAGTGCTTCTATAAAAAAGGTTTGTCATGAACTTTAGATGGAGTCATGGCATTGTTCTGTGGTCCAGATACCCCCTGAAACTATAGCCTATCCCATGGTCAAATTCCATTTGACCTAATAATTATACCCAGAAAGGGTTTCACTTCCAAGACTGAACATTTGAGTGACTAATCCAGAGTAATTTAGGGAGAAATCCACTTGGATTTGTTGGCCCAAGTCCAGTTGGTGCTTTAAAGGAACATTTTATTGTCAATTCTAATGCAGCCAACAGTCTGTATATTAATTTATCTCAGAATTTGAACAGACAGTCAGCAGAATGTTACAAAAGTACAAGCTTGGGGTTGCAAATGCACGGCTGTCATGTAACTGGGTTTAGCTGTACAGTTCATTTTAATCCACTGTAATACCATGGTTTCTAATGACCGCATCAGTAACACAAAAGCCATCGCAGTTCTGCGAATCTCCACCTTAAATAAACACAGTACGTAAATGTTTAGTGCCAACGAGGCATTCATGTCTTTGTGGGAGACAATCGGTTTAGAAAGCTGTTTATGCGGGTGAGGTCAGGAGCTGACTACAGCATGCAGAGCAGCCGTTATCCCAGAAGAAGAACTGGCTTTAGGACGACCACTAAGCTACAATGTCTTGACGTGTCCGTAGATTTGTAGAAGGAAGATGTGCCTGTTGGGTAATAGATCAATGCTAATTTGTGGTTGTAAAGTTTCCAGTATTTTGTTTCTATGGGAACTGGGCTATTGCCGAACATTGCCAGTTACACATTCAGAGCCTGAGCACAATATGTGATATAAGCTTTCAAATGATAATATGTTAATTTCAAAGCTCTGGAAGACTTCCCGCCATTGCGGTTCTTTCGGTAAAATCCTCGTTCAACAATGCGAAATAGTTGGCATCTGAAAATATTTGTTTTTAAAAATCCCTTTCAATAAATTTCCCATAAGTTATATCCCTGCCAGTACTATGTCCTCCCATGATCTCTTGGTGAAAAAAAAACAAAAAGCAAATAACATAGAACATTTTGAGCGGATACTCAGAATTTAAGAACTCGGTAATTCCTGGAAGTCAGCTCGTGTGGTCCTGGATTTGTCCCCATCGAGAAGTTAAAAATGACAGATGTTTAATAGCCATTTTCCATGGTAAAGAAATGCCTTTTTCACTTTTGGAAATGTCATTAATTTATTTTAGCAGGGCCATATTGCTAGCAGTCGTTCACCCTGGGTGATCGGTCCTCTGGGGCCACCGAGGGAGTTGTTGTAGTCGGCGGCGGTGAGACACGTACCACTGGTGCTACAGGTGCGAGTCCCACACATAACACTGTGGGACAGTTCAGTGTTTCATCTGGATTATGCATTATAGGTGTGCATATGGCAACAATATTGGGTTGGTGCTGGACTGTCACGCTGAGGTCATTTCCAGGCAAACATAAACTGATGTAACTGGATGTGGGTGGAGGTAGGTCAAAAGAAACAGATGAATCCAAGTCAAATTGCGTTTTCCAGCTATTCATCCTCTCTGATTAAAGTTGCTTAGCTGTGAATGATTGGTCTGAAAGCGTCACTGGAAACTTAGTTAAGACTCTATGTAAAATGACTAAACCAGGGCCCTTCAAATCTTGACCTTAATTCCACATCCAGGCCTTGTTTTCAGTTCTCCCAGGTAGTTAGTTTAATAATTTCTGATTCTGATTGGCCACAGCGGCTTCACATCCGGCTCATGGATAAAGGAAAGCTGGAAAATGAGCAGTGCACTGATTTTGAGGACTGTGCTTGGAATAGCCCTGTGCTAAACAGTTAGCATTCAAAGTATCTAACTTGAAGTTTTTATTAATTTACATGACTCAGATACAACATCAATGAACCTCAAGGTGTAGGTCTCGTTACAGCCCTTGTTTGGATCACCCCCAGGTGCCTCTCGTCTGCTCCCTCGTCAGTCATGTATATAGTGCCTCCCTGTCTTGAGATCCCCAGTCCAGTCATTGATGTTGCTGCCTGCATGTGCTCCCCAGTGTGTCCTGTGTCCTGGCCATTTCCTCCCTACCCTGTTTTGACCCCTTGTGGTCCATTTCCTTTTGCCCTGCCTGTAATTGTATTTGATAAAGCCCCTTTTGGATTTCCCCACGCCAGTCTCCACTTCTGTTCTTACCTGCATGTCTTCTCCAAAATTTGTCTCAATTTCTGGATGTTGCTCACATGGGAATCACTGTTGAAGCCCCCTTTGCTCTTCTTGAATGACCCATACAGATGGACAATATCCCATCCAACATGCATTACAATCATTACATTACAACCCGAGAGGGAGCAAAAATGTGGACTGTCTGACATGGAGCTCAAAAGGAGCAAAAACATCAACTATGGGCCACTAAGGACCGGATTGGGAAACACTGCTTTACTGTATTGTCTTGTCATACACAGAGCAGTTTGTCACCCCCCCCCACCACCCTTACCCCACAAGCTTCACCCCTCACCCTGATACTCCATCTATGTCCTCAGGCACTGCACTAAGTTTGGATCTGGCACAGGGAGGTAAACACTGAGTCTTTTCAAAACTGGCTCACACAAACCACATCATTCCCAGCTGCAATTGAACTGGCGAGCGGGATGAAAACATTTCTGAAGCACAGCTCTCGAGTCTGCAGCCCAGCTAAGTAAACATGTCTAGGGCTCAGTGCTGACCTGGGGGTGACTCGCACTGCGTGGGGGCTCTGCACGGGGATCATGAGGGAGAAAGCGAGCGGGGAGAAGATGGCAAAGATCGCCAACGGAACTAAGAAAGCTGGCAACAACTGCAGGGATAAAGGAAATATCATGCAGTTGCTCTGGCTGAGAAGAGACTTGTTACTGGGTGAGGGGCAAATGGAGGGCCTTAAGCCCACCAGTCATCCCAGATAAGAGAGAGGTACACTGTAGCCACATACTGAATGCATGACCGGTCATCTCAGGACTGGATAACGGCTAGTAATTGCATATGAGGAAAAGGTGCATCGAAATCTTAAGTGGAATTAAGATGCACCTGTGCTGCTGAATAGTTGTTTTGGTGCCCGTTCAGATCAGGGGCTGAATAAGAAACATGTGAAAGAACAGCTCTATTATCCGAAAAATATCTAGGCCCACCAACTTATAGATCACGGCACCATATTTTGACTTAATGCTCTTCGTAATACAATGTATCCATTGTCCATAGAAATTGGGCATCAGATACTGTGGATGGGATGCCAATGTATTGCAGGGCTCAAGCTGACTGAGTGCAGAAGGAAAACAGAGAACCCAAAGGAAAGTGGCACAATGGTAGGGAGAACATGCACGCTGCACACACACAGAGCCGGGGCCCGGAAGCGAACCCACAATCCACCGTGCTCTCGTGCCCAGGGGCCCGGAAGCGAACCCACAATCCACCGTGCTCTCGTGCCCAGGGGCCCGGAAGCGAACCCACAATCCACCGTGCTCCTATGCCGAGCCACTGTGTAATAAATCATACTGTTCCATGGAGAGTAGCTTTAGAAACGCCCTAAGTGGAATTTGACTTCATGCAACCTGACAGTTTGCATCATGTGACATGGAAACAGCGAGCGAGGGCACCTGTCCTAGCAAATGACGCGGCTGGCAGCCATTCTTCACCACAGGGGCCAAAAGTGCCACCCCACTCGCGTTAGGAAATCTCTATGCCAGCCTCTGTGGGGTTTCTGCCAGCCTGCCGTTTCAACGAAGCCCGGGGAAGATTCCCGGAACGGGTACAGACCGACTGCCGATCATTATCTAATAAGGCGGCCAAACTGCTGACCAGCGGGGAAAAAGTCCACAACTGCTTTGTTTTTATAGCTGGTTGTTGGCAGAGTGGGAAATTTCCCACTTCATGAATCAAAATGTAATAAGAAATTAGGAAACGTGGGGGCAAACTAAAATATACTCGGGTGAAGTGTTTGAGGACAAGAAATTTTAAATAATTAATGTGGCTCTCAATGAAATCTTGATGAGAAATAAAAGCATGGTACCTTTAGGAACACAAGAGACAATTCAAAATATTTTATTTTTTAATACTATCAAAGAATTAACTGTATGAACAATTTGCTTATTTTTATTATTTTTTTTTTTTACAAAATTCACAGTCTTATTGATTCGTGAAGAAACTGGCATAAATATTTTGATTCAAAGAACAACATAAGAGGAAAAAAACACGAACAGAGAGTAATACAGTAAAAATGACCCTTGGCAATTCGGTCTTTGCACCCAAAGTGAATATCAAGGTGTTTATTTACAAAACCGAGAGCTGAGGCATTGCGTGAGATTCAGCTGCTGTGCTGTGAACCCAAATCAGTACGTGGCATTGGTGAAGTGGTCCTGCTGGATCGGTTCTGCCCAGAAACAATACGATTCCAGTGTACAGCGAAACCCCAGACGCAGCCTGCCGACAAACACAGAAACACCCACACACATACACAAGCACACACCGAAATATTCAAACGCATACATTCGCACGCACACAAATACAGTCATACAGACAAAAGGCAGGCAGCTTTTTTTTCCATACGTGTCAGTGCATTTAGGTTGACATTTTGCTCATGGGAGTTTTACTTACACAAAAATCTTCTGGGGGCAGAAGGAAAAATGACTGGTTCAGAGAGATAACCAATCAGATTGTAGAGGAGGTGGGTCCAAGCAACTAGAGGAAGTGGGACGAACCAATCAGATGTCTTGGTCCCACCTGTTCTAGTTTCTTGGCCCCACCTCCTCTACAATCTGATTGGTTATCTATCTGAACCAATCAATTTTCCTTTTTCTCTCAGAACATTTTTCTGTAAGTAAAACTCCCAAGAGCTGAGATTTTAACACGTCACATGATGTAACCAATCTAGTGGTATCTGTAGTTATCAGGTGGACAGTATGTATAATCTCCCTCAGCAGAAAACCTCCTTTCCAAGACAGCACAGAAAAGCTGCTTGACAGTCTGGCTTTGTGAACTTTAGCCTACTGTCCCCTGTTTGACCTTATTACACGCATATATGTGCCATGTCCTCCAGTAAGATGTAGACGTTTGGGTGCGATTTGGTGATCCCTTCAAAAAGTACAAAACACAGGTAAGGAAGAGGGTACAGTGGGAAAACATCACTGTGAGTACGTTAAATGGCTGGTCCTATCGCATCTCTGCGTGTGCCGATCCGCGTTTATTCGCCTACTTTGTCGATGTTGTTGTTGTTGTGGCTGTCGCTGCTGTTGCTGCCGTGCTTCTGCAGTGCCCGAGGCAGCACTTTCTTCTTCACGAAGAGTCTCTGTAGGAAGCGGTCGCTCAGGGACATGGGGAAGTAGCTGTGGATGAAGTACATGAGGCCCACGCCTGGGCCGGCGTAGTAGCGCACCTTGGGCCGCGGTGACACCAGAGCGTCGAGGATGGTGTCGATGACGGGGCTCAGGTCCTCATTCGCCATCTTGGCGTGTTGCTGAAAAAGCTGCTTCGTCTCCAGCATGTACTCCTCGCCGTACTCCTCCAGGAGGGCTGGAGGTAGGTTCTGGAGGAGGTGCTTGTACTGGAGCTCCCAGTACTCAGAATTACTGGATTGACCTAGAAAAGAATGCCGACAGGGGGCAGGGGTCACTCAGACATGAGGGCTTGGCTGTTTGTCTATTTAGTGATCCAGTAGGTGTCCAGTAGGGGCCACCGTCTGCGCAGGGCTTTTACTTCAATCCCTGAATCAAAGTAAACCCAAAGTAAACTCTGCTGGCTCAGAAGAAGCCCCACGCAGTGCAAGTCTGACTGGTGTTCATGTGTTTATTTAGCTGACACTGAATCATGTTCCATTAGCTGAGCTGTGCTTGTGGAGGAGGAGTGGCTTCTTTGAGATACACCATTCAATTCAGTGACTGTGTTGAATCCCCCCCCCCGGCACATGTGGGACTGCAGCACTTCTCGCCGAACTGAATTTCACTGGGTGGGGATGCCCCCCCCCCCCTGCACTGTTTAGATCCTTCCACTGCGCTCACTTCAACGCTCACCCCCTAATCTCGTTCTTCTGGTCTTTTTTCAGTTTTGCCGGAGGGGCAGCCGGTTGATTAAGTGTACAGGAAGCATCGACGTCAAGAAGACCGCGGGTACGGTTTATCCAGGGATTTAGAGCACCTTCCCTTAACGCAACATCCCACAGCGGTAGGTGAGCACAGAAGTGGAACAAAGCAGCCTTCCCTTTAAATGTATCTCATAGCCCCCTGGATGCAGGATGGAACAACTGACCCATGCGTCTAAAGGAAGGTCCAGGGGATGCTGTCAGACCTTAAACTGTAGGCTGTGACGGCCTGCTTGTAAATGACAGGGGCTCGGCAAGCCCATGAATACTATACTAATAACAGTCTTTATCAAAGCCAGCTTATGTAACTTAACATATTACCACTTTACACGGTTAGGCAGCTGCTTACATTAACGTGCCATATGCCCCAGGATCCGGCTGATTTGACTTGGAGTACAATCTGCACATGTGAATCCTTGGACGCTGGCCCGTGAGGATGTGGATGCACATGTTGGAGCTCTGCGACTGAATTTGCACCCTGTGGGCAGGTGGCTTGCTAGCCAGATACGTATCAACATACAGCCAATCGCCGGAGGTCCAAGAAGCTGCCCCACGATGGAATCTCACTGGCCGATTTTGTGTACGTGTTTAGAATAACAATCAGATCTTTAACCGATTTCTAAATGTCCGAACCCAAGCCTTTTCTGTTGTCTGTTATTTATGTCTCTGCATGGACTTTTTTGTGATTCCAACAACTAGTGTTATAATGAGGTGGGAGGAGGCTTCATGTGGGCAGAACCTTGCCGTGGGCACAGCTTTGATGTTGTCGGAGCTTTGATGTGCGCTATCCCACGATGCACTGGAGTGCCTTTGGTGTGACACACATTACCTGTCTTGAATGATGCCGGGAGTATGGTGGACACCTTGACACCCCAGGGTTCCAGCTCATGCCGCAGAGTGTTGATGAACAGGTTCAGTGCCGCTTTGGAAGCACCATACGCTGCCAGGCAGGGAAACGGCTGCTCCCCTGCAAAGTAATGCGTACGGCACGCGTCACAGCATGCAACGGCACAATGCATAATGGTATAGCATGGATAGGATACGGCACAATGCAAAATGGTATAGCATGGGTAGGATACGGCACAATGCAAAATGGTATAGCATGGGTAGGAGACGGCACAATGCAAAATGGTATAGCATGGGTAGGAGACGGCACAATGCATAATGGTATAGCATGGGTAGGAGACGGCACAATGCATAATGGTATAGCATGGGTAGGATAGATCAGCAAAGTGTAGCACAACACTCCTCTCTGCAACATAGAAATCCAATAGACAGGACTCCCTAGCAAAGCATACCATAGGGTGGCACAGCATAAACTGCAAGATCATTCACAGCCAATGCAGTAAACTGACACCTATTCAAAGCAAATTGCGCAGCCTTTTATCCAGTCAACTGACACGATACTCGTTGAGCACCGGAGCTGGACATTGGATTGTAGGCCTCTGGTCTGTGCAGAATTGGAGCTGGGGGACAGCATCTGCGATGCAGCACGACGGCCTGCCATTTTCACCCCATGTGCCCGACAGCCGCATCTGCTCGTGCTGCTGCATAAGGACGCCATGGTGGTAAAAATAGCCCTGCTACTAGAATCTGACTAGTTGATACTGAGAACGCATGTGTGAATGAGAATGCATTGGCAAGCAGAGCAGGCCAGGAGGGGAACCAACAGCAGCCTTTCCAGGGGCTTCTGTGGCAAACCAGCTCACGGGGAGAAAAACGCCTTGGAAGGTACTAAATTGACTGTTTATAGCAAAGTGCCTGAACAACCCTGGCTCTTCAGTCAAGCTAATCCAGTCCTTTTACTTGGCAGCTTGCATGGAGTTGTGTGTCTGTGAGTTTTGGTTGTGTTTGCTGCAGGACCAAGAGCATTGCATTTTTTCCGTACCCGATCCACCGGCCGGCAGGATTTCCGACATTCGCCCAGCTGGCAATTTTTTTCACGCGCCACCATTGGACTGAAATGCTGTGATCGAGACTCAAAACATTTATAATATGATGTCAAAAGCGAAGAGACCCCTGCAGTGATCCAGGCACTTCGAAGAGGCATCCCATCATTGTGTCATCACGGCGCAGTCATGCTCAGGCCATCCGTTACGAAGGGCACTGGGACTGCACAAATATTACAGAGACAGGCCCATCTCATGTTCTCAAATTCCTCAGATGTTCTCCTAGGCCTTCAGGTGCTCTGCAGCCTGTCAAATGTTCTTTTGGACATTACCTCAATATAAAGCAGACATATGTAGATGTATTGCTAGGTTGAATATTTTGTCACATGTGGTGTCTGTGGTGGCTTTAAGCAATGGTGAAGGACCCTTCAACATCTTCATAGCATTCAGTGGATTAGAAAATGTTTATTAAATGCACAGGAAAGATTCCAGGTTCCACGGATTTGTAGAACAGAGTGGAAGTCATGAGCAAGTTCATTTGAAAAAGCACGGCGACAGAACATTTCAGTGGAGAGGTGTAGAACGCCTTCGGGTCTCTGTACCTGAGGGGCTGGACACTGTCACAATCCTGCCTTTCGCCCGCCGCAGAAGAGGCAGGAATGTCTGAGTGACACTCAGTGTGCCGAAGAAGTTGACCTCCATGCAGCCCTTGTAGTTGGACATGAGAGAAAGCTCCGCATCGCCGAAGTTCACGCACACCCCAGCGTTATTCACCAGCCCCCACAGGCCTGTCGAGAAAAAGGAAGGAGGACTGGATGTCACCTAACTGGAAGCTGAGCTCACCTCTGTTAGCTGCTGAGATCAGACCCTGTGACAGGGCTCAGTTTAGCTGTGTGTGAAGCATATGGTGAGGCTTGGAGATGCTGGTATGGGGTTTATCTGGTTCAGTGAAGATGATGATCAAGCAGGTCAGCTTTCAGGTAGATGAGCCCTACAGTACCAGAGTTGACGTGACAAGCCTTGGACACTCATACCACCTGCACTACCAGGTGTCCACCACTGGGGGGGGGGGGGCACCATATAACACAGACAACAGGTTGCATTGTGGAGCTTCCTACCAGCAGGCTGGCATGGAGGGCATGATGAGCATTGCATGGGTGGCATGGTGAGCTTTGCATGGGGGGCATGGTGAGCTTGGCATGGGGAGCATGGTGAGCTTTGCATGGGAGGCATGGTGAGCTTTGCATGTGAGGCATGGTGAGCTTGGCATGGGGGGCATGGTGAGCTTTGCATGGGGGGCATGGTGAGTTTGGCATGGGGGGCATGGTGAGCTTTGCATGGGGGGCATGGTGAGCTTGGCATGGGGGGCATGGTGAGCTTTGCTCAACTCAGTTGGACTAGCCCAGTCCCCCCCTTCCCTCTATGTTTCACCCAGAATGTTCCGCCATGGTTGGGTGGTCTACAGACATCTGGATGGATGTTGTCAGAGATGCCAGCTTGGGCAAACATAGGAAGAGGAGTAAAGGGGAGTAAAACAGAGAGCTATGGGTGTAACACGAGGCAACGGCGGTCCAGAAAAGTCCGATTGTTTCAAAATCACAGACATTCATGTTGCGGTAACATCAAGTGCCCTTGCTTAAGGTAGTTTCCTTAACCCCCACCCTCCCTACACTAACCTCCATCCTCTCCCCTGTGCTCGAGTTAAATTTTTGCCTTACATTTCCAAGAGTGCAGCCGATTTCGTGATTTATGCTGATTTCCAAACCCCCTGCTTCGTTTTCGATTCCATCGTACTCGAGAGGAAAAAAGGGGGGGGGGGGAGGGGGGGGGGTGCAAGATGGAAAGAGCAGAGAAGAGTGCAGAGAGGGCCAAAAGCAGAAAGCCAGACAGGGAACAGTGTGTGCTCCGTGTCCACGTGAAACAGCGAGACCCAGAGGGGGACGAGGAGAGCAGACACGCGTGCTGGCAGAAACGTTCATGGGGCCTAGACGTTTCCCATGGACACTCACGACACGAGAAGCAGACAAGAGGTCAGGAGCGGAACCCACAGGGGCGTGGACCTTCATCAAAGCCTGGCATCACCCATCTATGCTTTTGGAATTTTTAGAAATATTCCACGGTGCCAGAATCAAAATCAGCGTAAATTCAGTCTCGAAAAAGTTCATGTAGTGTTCAAATGTCTGGTCACTGGACACCCCCCACCAGGCAGCAACAGCCAATATAATGTTTTACTGCATGCATGATTTCCCATCATTTCTCCGATTGGCCCAAACCATGAGTCCATTCTGTCCTCCCTTCACTGCAGCTCAGTTATCTTCTCATTTCCTCTGCATGTCTCTGTTATGGGGGAATAAAGTCCATGAGCTCAAATGACCTGCACATCTACTTTTTCTTACTGTTTCAAGGTTCACAGATCATGTTGTAATTCTGATAGATTGTTGAGTAACTGCACTGTTTTGCTTTGGCGAGCAGGTGAAGGACAGTGTATAGATTATTTCATTTGGTTTGACTTTTCAGTTTCTGTTTTATATTTTTTTTTACCTTCAACATAACTAAAGAAAAAAAGCCTTGTTTTGTTATTAGAAAGGTTTTTTTAAAATAAAATTGCGTTGATTTTGTTCCCTGTTGAGTTTAATTGAACTGTGCCTCTCTGATAGTGCCTGTATTTTCTGCAAATTAACATGTACACTATTTCTTCCCAGTTCCTCTTTCTATAAAGCTATTGTGTGAACATACATCCTCCAAAATGTTTGATGGAGAATGTCTGCTTCTCTGCTGGTCTTGTGGTCCTGTCTCCATCTCCTGGACTTCCATGACTCAGCTCTGCTCACGGGGGTGCATGCTTTTCTGCGGACAGGATGCAGCAAACCCCCCCAAATGCTCACACTTCGCCCACAAACAAACCGTGCTGACTGTAGTCTAGGACGCTGCCAGCGCTGGTAGCTCACGCCTGCACAGCTAATGAGGGGCCCCCCCTGTTAGTCCACCCACTAACCTAAAGCAGGTGTCCCGCATAGCTAGAGGTAAACATAAAAGCCCTTATCGCAGCTGTCTAATGAATGACTCAGAGGCTACCAGAGGCTACCAGAGGCTACCAGAGGCCACAGAGTGCAACACAGTGTTTACAAAAAAACGCAAAGGGATGCTGTGCAGCTCAGCGGGCTACTGAGCTATGTCTGCATCCAGAAGGTAGTGCGTTTGAAACCCGTGGACAGTAATCATAACAGTGTCGGGCCCCTTGAGTGACGTCCTCAACCCCAGCTACTCAAGGGGAGCTGAATGCTGGCTCTGAGTCTGTCCACGAAGGGCCAGACAGAGTCTATGGCAACCCAAGAATTCCTAAGAACCTAGTTAAAATTTCATAATATCAGGATCCGATGAGTTACATTCATCCCGCGTCGTGTGTTATAAGCCTTGTACATTCATTTAAGCTGGCGTTCACATCTTTTGAACAATTCTAAAATAGAGCTAATTCAAAACATGACCTTAACGCGAGAGCAAAATCTGGAGCAGGAGCTATTTAAAAGGACTGTGTTCACATGTGAACTTCATCCCTTGGCAGGCGGCCAGCCCTGGTCCCGCTGTTGCCTTCTTGATGTACAGCCTGGGATGACCCATAAACAGGATGTTTTAACACGTCCTCCGGTGCTCCTGCTTTTAACAGCGGGGCTGTCAAGGGCGCTTGGGAATGTCTCCTGTGTTTCTCTCAGCGTATCATTGTTTTCCCTGCCTCCCTGGTTCACAACAAGACAGTTTTGGTGATGATTCAAGCTGCACTAAATTGCCGTCATGGGAAATGGGCATCGATAATAGCTGATACATGCTTCACCAGTCCCAATATGAACCGGGAGCTTTGCTTTAAACGCTTCCCTTTGAGCTCGTCTTGTATAATCGCCTGTTTTCAGCGACACTGTGCAGCGAATCGACGGCCAAGCTGGGTTTCTCTGGAACGGCGGCGTTTCTTCATTAGGCTCAGGGAGAAGGAGATTCATCTCCCTCATTGTTCCTGCAGCTGTTTAAGATACATTTGGACATTTTAGGACACCCTGTATCGACCAGATGGGATCTTGATCGAAGCCACGCCCCCCCCCCCTCCCCCAACCGAACATGGCCAAGCATCCTATAGGGATTCCACAGCTCCCCCTGCTTTGCTGAACCCCCCCCCCCCCCCCCCCCTCCCCCCCCCCCCCCCTTCCCTCTTCTCCACACACTCTGATGTCATCGGGATAGCTCCCCCCTTTGGACATACACATTGCGCCTTCAGTGGAACACGAGAGGCACAGCGTGTGCGGCGTGTTGAGATACATGTGCCCGAGGGCCGGGCTCACTCTGCATGTGAAGAGTCATGGAAACAAACAGGCCCCGCAGCTCTCGGCTGGAAATTGTAAAGTGAGCAAGGTTACTGGGTAGGTGAGCATGCAGTGAGGCAGAAGAAAAGCGCGAGTGACTGAGTGACTAAGCAAGTGTGAGCTTGTTGGACAGAGAACGTGGGAGGGATGAGTGACAGGTGAGTGATCCCCGCATGCGAGGAGATCCAGTTTGCCCCTATCTGCCAGGAGTCAGATTTCATATTGGCCACATCCTGTACAGCCAATACACTGTTTTTTAAGTAAACAACCCCCCCAAATTGTGCATACAGACAGAGACACTCACTGTGTTAAGAGCGTAGGAACCTGGAGGACGTGTATCCCCCCAGTATTTTGATTTATTTACCCCTCCCAATAAACAGACTTTTGTTGCATTAATTACATCTTCAGCATTCCTTATTTTCACCTAAACTTTAATATGGTGGATTTTTTTTTTTTAAATTAAGCTAATAAAAAATGTTATAAAATCGTCTTCAGTGTAAAAACAATTAATGTGTCAGTAACACTGCATGTCTGAAATTCACAATGAATTGCCGGCGGGGAGCTACAAGTCGAAGACATGAATGTTTATGCCTGTCCCACAATATGAGACGTGAAGAAGCACGTGACCCCCCCCATGTGTTAGGAATCACTCCAGCTGTCATTAATGTGCATCTCACCTCGGAGCCCCAGTTTGGCCTTGGTGCGAGCCAGCGCCTGCTGAATGTCCTGGGCTTGGGTTATGTCCATCTGGATGAGTGTGAGACGGGACGAGCAAACCCGCTGCAGCTCTTGGGCTCCTTCTCCACTCAGATCCAGGACGCTGGCGAACACCTCGAACCCAAGCGCATCCAGCTTCTGAGCGGCTGACTTCCCGAAACCGGAGTCACAACCTGACAGAAAATAAAGAGTGTGTGTTAAACCCAGTTACCAAATGAGGGTACATCCATGCTTACTTCTGTTATTGGGAATTTTCCTTCTCCTTATTGACACGTTATTGAGACTGCATTAAAGTCAGTATTAAATATACACTATTTTAATGACAATGATACCAGCATATTGAACACATCCTATTTGCATTCTGTGGTGTGATGTTTTGTTCCTTGTCTGGTATCAGTACTTCATCTAAATATTTGAGAACACTGATTTGTTCCAGATTTATTTTGGTGTACTAGAACTTACTGTTCTTTCAACTTGATCTACCTGGCTTTCACAGAATGTCACTAAACTTCCCTTGGAATGTTATCCCAGGATGGAATCGCTTTCAGTAGAATGAATAGCATTTTCATCTTGATAACTTTCACAAATATGTAACTACAAAGGTAGCAACAACCCATGACTATGCATTGCAAATAGTCGGCCATCCATATAATATAAAGTCAAAGACACGCTCCATTGCGTTACAGTCGAATGCGCTTCTCAAAAAAAGCATTTCACGTCTCCTGTTCTTCAAACAAACATAGTTTTAGATACATAATCCCTTACAAGTATGGCTGGGAAACACAGTTTTGACACTTATTCATGATATGTGTAAACACTGAGTAACAAACAATGCAAATGAACAATCTGCTGTAAGTTTGCAATGAGGTTTTGCTACCATTTAGTGAAACTAGATATACAACTCAAATGGACCTTGGCACTGTTGCAAGTATCTAAGAGGGTGTCATTTAAAGAGGGGTCTATTTTCCCTCAAAACTGATGAATGACATTTCTAGGTGTAGCCTGTCATTCCTAATTTAGCAATAAGTAAATGAGTAACAGAAAGGCATGCTGAAAACCTTCAAGAAAAACATCACAAGGTCCATTTTGTCTAGTACAGGGAGTATGTGTACTTGACACTTGACATTCTATCGATTGATAACTAAGGAGTGAAAAGTCTGCCATGGCTGGACAATAAGCAGATGATAAGCATTTCAATGAACAATGCATTGAAGGTAACATATGCATCCGATTCATTCCGGTGAAAGTTAACACTTGTCACCTTTACCCTGAACGGCGTGTTCATAGTGAAAGATGACTTGTCCTGTTATCATAATCACACCTCCATATTTCTCATATTTCTGCTGGACCTTATCATAAGATAAGGTAGTCTGAGGATACATGCCAGATTCACAAATTATGCGGAGGTCAGGCTGTGTCCTATTGCAGGCCAGATATCCTGTGTGCATTCCGTACCCTGTGGGTAGGGCCATCACGCCAAAAGATCTCAGGAGATGTGTCACATGTAAATAGCATATAAGTCAAGCAGCTGTATTCCAAAGAATGCACAAATTAGCCCGATTAAATGCTTAACTAACATTTGTTCTGAGTTACTGAAAAGTGAAATTGTTCTTTCACGTTGCAGTTAAATTTCACACACATCTGTATACAGAATCACTCGGTTTACACAGAATAAATCAACGGAATAAAACAAAGATTTCATCATTGGGAATTAATTTAAGGGGTGGTCAAGAGCAGCCATTGGAATGTTTATTTAGCCGCAACAGACATTGCCAGTATTCAAACTAAAAGTCAAAATGTAAAATGAGACGCATGCAATCGATTTGACAATGAAAGTCTCAAAATAAGATGGCTTCATTCGTCAGGTATTTTTTTGCTAAGTTTCGTTTTTGCTGTTGACAAATCGTAATAGGGTGAGGTGAAGCTGTATCAATTGCATAAGATTGTGTAGTGAAGATATTTTTAGAGTCAAGTTTACAGGGCCTTTCAACTACAGACTGATGCTGGACATCGTCCAAGAACAGTGCGTAAAACTGCACACCCGTGGTTTGGCGGCATAAAGTAAATCTGTTGAGTGACATTGGGTTAATATTGCTGAATAAACAGCACACAGAGTTCCCTGGGGTGTGAGAGGTTCAACTTTGTGTGTGACTCACCAGGACGAGGACGACAGAGTAAGTCATGCTTACTGATCTGATCTCTCGTGCCAATCAACTTCAAGCAGTAGCGTGTTGGTTAGCCAAATATTGACAGGCTGCTGGCAAGGCTTGCGACAAGTAAGACAAAAGCCAATAATCTTGTTTACGCCCCCATTGAGATTCGCTGTCTGCGTGTGATGTTTTTAGTCTTTCACCCACATTAGATTAACCAGAAATTACTTGAATGTGCTGGGTTCCCAATGAATTCCTTGGATGGTTTCCAAAATGATTCTGATAACATCGTAACAGTATGTTGACGCAACCATTTTTGAGTACACGCTTTATTCTCGCTTTATTTGTTTTCAGTCTGTGCACTGACCTGAGGGAGACCACGGCGACCCGTATAAGCCAGCGTATTACTTCAGCTAATAGGCCCCAGCTTCAAATGGGCTGAAAGGGGGAAAAAAAGACAAAGAAGAGGCAGAAGTCCCATAAAAGTGGCAGCTACAGCGGATGGCGTCTGACTCCGCTTGCTTTTACGCAACAACAGCTCAGCAGGTTCTCGGGAAGAGCTGAGAATCGTCTAGCGATCAAAGAAACCGAATGGTATGAGAACACACAATCAATACCTAATGGGCAATCACACCAGGCACATAGCACGTCGAAACAGATGGGAATGGTGTGGAATTCGTTTACTCAGAAGTCTACGAAGTTTAAGCTCGATGTACAGTCGATGGGGATCGAGCCAGCCCCCCCGAGCATGTGGAACTAAGAACAAAAAACAGTGTGGTACACCTGAAATGTTACACAGAAGTAGCTCATGCAATTACTAGCCAATTAACCAAATTGAGCACCTAATTGAATGTGTAGATAGGGTTCTACATGCATTCATTAAAAAGCAGACGGAAAACTGGCACGTGTTTTGCCGAAATCACAACAAAGCGGGACTATGGACACGAAGATAAGTGGGTTAGATCAGTATCATTATTTTGAACGCAAACAAGTGCAATCAGTGTTTTTGTACTGTGGCATGAGAAACATGCATGTGATGCAAATCTTGGTGCCATGGAGACACAGCGATTGTAGCTTGCAGAAAGTGTCCTTTCAGATTTCTTGAAATGCCATAGCAAAAGGCTGGTACCAAACAACAGCTTTGCTGTTTTTGTTGGAAAAATCAATTTATAGCTTGTCACGCTGATAGTTTTATATATTTCTGAGGTAAAGCAGGTTAAATAGCCTCTCAAAGTTACAACAATAGAACCCATAGGACTGGAGGTGACAGGCTTGTCATGTTTTCACCTCTGTGATACTTCCAGGAACACGCTGTATTTTTGGTCTCCCTTGGTGGCACTGGACGTGCCTGGAAACCAATGCACATTAACACTTGTACGAGCTGTTTAATCTCACCGGTCACTGTACTATTTAACCACGGGCTGCTGCAGTTAAAAGAGTGAAAACAAAGACAAACTTCACGAGCAGCACACCTGCTTTTCCCGGAGACTCAGCTTTTCTATGCCCTCATCACGAGGAAAAACATCTGGATAAGGCCCCCCTTTAATCTCTGATCTTTATTGAAAAACACAGAAAAGAGCTATTTCTACTTTGCCAGGGATGTTTAAGCTGTTCCTGACCCCCCCACACACACGTGCACAATTTAAGCTTTTCCCCTTAAACATGTTCTACATCATGAAGCTGTTTGCTGCCTACTCAAATGGACAAGGTTAGTGGGAAGATCTAGTACTGGGCCGTAAGTACTGCAAACTGGGTGTAATTCAAACTCTCTTGCTGTAAACTACCTTCCAGACATTCCTAAAATGAACCCAAGACATTACTTTCCTATGTTGACCTTGGTAATGTAGGACTAAATAAGATTTTTTCATGATACAGATTAAATGTGGTTAAATAACATTAAGAAGAAAACACAGCATAAGGCTTTACGGCAGTTTTTCTTGTGCAACATAAACAAGGGCTGGTATATACCATCTTGTTCAGCACGTTAATTCACAGTGACCCACTGAACAAGTTGGAAACTGAGCCAGTCTGTGCAATTCCAGCTTTCATCCCCACAGCTATGCTGCCCCCCCCCATTTAAATTGATTCATAAGAGGTTTAACATTTTTTCCCTTTATTTTTTTACAAAGTTACAAGGTGATTCAATGCAGGTCAGGAAAAGCCCATTAATAAAATGTCTGTTAGGAACCATTCAGTCCTGAAATCTGGCAGTGACATCTGAACGTGGAATACTAGATTTCCCCACGTGGTCTACATAATTGATAGTTAAATCTGGACTACTGTAAAATCTGTGCTTTATTTGTGTTGAAAAGTGTGTCACTTGTTTTCACAGCACTATTGCACCTCTTGCATATTTATTTGTATCCAGTAAGTTGTTCTTTGTACTAGGTGCGGCTGAATGAGTAAGCTTTTCAATGAACTTGTTGCATTGGAAAAAACAACATCTTGAATCCTTAATACTTTGTTTCATTGGTCTACTACTGGTTTTCGCTTAATTATCCATTGTTCCTCGAAAACAGCGATGCGTCTTTGAACGTTACGTAGTCTTTGAAAGCACGAATGAAATCCTGGTCTCTCCCGGATATCTGTGATAAAGAAATATGACACCACTTCCAACGGCAACAACAGCGTCATTGGATGAAATTCAACTTTTTCAGCTTAGTGAGCTGAACATTATGCCAAAGCACGGCGGCTTGCGCTATGCGTCGGGCGGGGACGCTTCGCTCCCTAAGCCATTGGGTAAGAAGGTGATCCGAGTCTCGTTTCCATGCCACTAGACTGCCTCTTACTAGTCCTAGCCACTGTAATTCTTTTCCAGGTTTATTTTGTCACTTTCAAACTGTCAGTGCATACCCACAAACTTTTGTTTTGGTAATGAAGTGAGCAGCCCACTCAGTACAAGTACTGTACCTGGTCGACGCTTTTAATCATAAACCTGGACGCTCCTTCTCCGCACGCTATATCTTACGTTTTAATGTATCATTGTGTACACAACGTTAATTTTTACTCACCGCAGAGTATACGATCATAAATGAGTGCCTTATTAAACCATCAAACGATGTGAAACGTACATCAACCTTTATTACACGTATTATTTAAGTTTGCCAGTACACTATGCTCTTTCGCTTGAAACTTGGTTAATGCTGTTTCCATGGGAATTTAAATTGCCTACTCATCTATTTCAAACGATATTCATATCCATGTTTTGTGATTTCGAGCTAAACTATTGTAATACACTGTTCTTACTTGAGGTACGCAGTATTTTTTAAATCTGTTTTTACACTCAGACCAACGTAGTTTGCATGTTTCACGCATGTTGGTACTACGCACACTATAATCGGTTAAGGAACAGAGCAATGCGGCGAGCAGGCTGAAGCAGCATATCACAGGTGTTCTGGGGGTAACTATACCTGCTCTAAGTGCCGTGAAAACATTTCCACCTTTTGTGACTGGATCTTCAGTGTCGATCTGGGTTCATGCTTTGATATTTCATGATCACCGATGTAAAGAATAACCGACCATCGACATAAAATAATCCCAACTTCTCCAGAGTGTCTAAGTGACAACCTGTAACAAATTTATGTGCATTTTTATATTTAATCACTTTTTTGTCTGGTTAAAGCACGATTTAAAGCCAGTTATTGTAAGAAGAGCGTGGAGATTGCGCTTGGGCAGGTGAACATCACGCACCGTCCGCTGTTCCTGCAGGTTAGAGGACAGCCGGGAGCGAGAGAGCGGAACCGCACACGGGATTCTCTATGAAACAGATCAGTCAGCATGCTTTTCTCCGTGTCGTTACTCGGCATGAAGCAGATAAATTCTGTTCTCACTTCGGAAAGTTGTTTGTCCCGCCCACACCTTTGGATTCAGGCCAGAGAAGAATGGTGTTTATTCAGTGTGAGCGTGTGTGCGCGCTTTTAATAATCGGGGTTAGTACGATAGTATTTTGTCTTGCTTGCAGCAGGTACCATAAAGTACAGCTAATCTTTTATATATCTATATGGATCTACTCCATTCAGCAAATATCAGTCTTGAAGCAACATGTTCCCATACAAAAGCGTTATGTGGATCTGCATAGGGGTTCTATGTTGTACAGAAGTGTGTGACGTGAACTATTGGAGTTGAAATGTTGACACTGGGCTACATTATGCATTTTTAGGATTAATGGGAATAACTATGGATTTTATTTATTTAGGATAATTACACGGCAAATGTGTAATGCATTTTGATTTCTAAAGACCAGATTGGGCAGCATAGCTCTTAAAAGTATTTTTAAACTAATGGCAACAATAATAATAAACACATGTTAAAAATATGATTTTTGTAAGAATCAGTCTCCTCATTTTCGGTGTTGTGAGGTTCAGCAATGCCCATTGGCTGTGCTCAAAGTCTACAAGTAATTTATGCCTGGATTTCACTGAAAGTTTAGGCAATAAGATATACGTGTTGATAATGAGGTCATGATGTTAATGAAGTCAAGAAAGCCCATGAAGTATAATATAATTTCCACTCACAAGGATCACATGGGAATATCAAAAAGAAAACCCAAATTTGGTTACAGGTCATTTTCTGGCATTTACACAAGCACTTTGTGCAGTATTTGATGAACTATACACAGACTTTGCTCAGGGATTTAATATAGTTATTCAATACATACAGCATTAAAGCACTAATCATTTAATTCTGTTTTAGCAATTTACAGCAGATGTTGGCTGCATATCTTGAAAAGTAATACACAGGATTATAAGCCGGTGATTACTTCAATATAAAAAGGATTTAATAAGCTCATTAATATTTAACACACACTGCACTGAGAGATGCTATCCTGAGAGTTATATAAGAACTAAGCTTGATCACAAGAACTTATGCTTTCAAACAGTACATTAAGTGAAGTGGAGGTAATCAGTTTTCACCAAAAGGCTTACATTAGTTTTGAAATTAGATAGAAAATATGTGTTTAGGGGTTCAGTGTGCTGCATCATAAATGAGAGCATAGACTTGCTGGTAGTAGTTTGTGCTGAAAATGTAGCACCAGGAAGGGGCTGCACACCAGGACATTTCCGAAGCCCAGATGCAGACTGACACCCGATGGGGGTCGTGCAGCTGCTCCTTGTGTGAAATTTAACATGTCAGGGGTGTGTTGGAGCCTTGCAAGCCGGTGCATTTGAGAGAGAGAGAAAGAAAGAGGGAGAGAGCGCTGGCAGAAAGATAGAGTGACAGAGGGGGAAGTTGTGCAACTAGTGCCTCGGCGGGTAGGTAGAGAGGCGGCGGAGCCGGCGGGCGCCCCTACCTGTGATGAAGACCGCCCTGCCCTCTGTGGGAAGAGGGGCCACCGGGGGGCTCCAGTAGGGCACAAGGAGGCAGACGGCTCCCAGAGCGGCCAGCGCCAGCACGGCAGGGAGGCCCAGCGAGCTAAGTCGCTCCACCAGCATGGTGACCCCCAGCCAGGCCGCCATGGTGGGACCGGTGCTGACGTGCGTCGCCAGGATCTTCCTCATGGCCCCGCCGACCATGGCGGACATAAGTCCCATGGAAATCCAGAAGAGCAGCGCATGCTCTTCCATGGCATGTGAGATCTGAAGTGCAGTTCTCCCCCTTACTCGTTTCCTCCCTCTCTCTTTCTCTCTCTCTCACTCTCTCTCGTTTTCTGACAGAGGAGGGGATGTGTCTCACAAAGAAAAGACCATGTACCCCCTTAAGACTCAGGCACGCACACACACACGCATACACATACGGCGCAGGCAGAGTGCAGGCTGATGAATGAGTCCTGAAAACTGTGTGTATATATAGCACGCTGCAGAAGGGGGGTGGGGCTGCTTCGAAGGAGATCTAATCAGTGCCAAAAGAGTTTTACTACTCTTCAAGACTCCTTTTCTCTCCTCGTCTCCCAGGGAGCGTGCTGTCTTTATGCGCGTCCCGTTCATTGCACTTCGCCTCCATCCTCTGCAGTGCAAGGCGCTGAAAGAAAATGGGGCAGCGCGTGCACTCGCATCGGTCTCCCCGAGAGAAGCACCCGCATGTGTAAAGAGACCCGCTGCCATTCTGAGGAAATGCTCGAAGTTGTCAGGGTGCAGACGGGGGTGACTTTGGGTCTGGCGGAGGTCTAAAATACGTGCTGCGGCAGTCAGAGCCCGTAGTGCCTGGCGTGGCACTGTGAGTGCGGCGATATTGGCCACCAGTAAAGATCCCGGTGGAGGTTTAACTGTTTCTCTTGAAGCCACTTGTGGAATAAAAACGGGGTGGGGGCTGCGGCAGCTGCCTCGTCCGCTTGCCAACGGACCCCCTGCTTTTTCCCCGACCGCTTAAGCATGCCTGGAAGTGCCCCCAGCACCAGCCTGGCAAAACAGGTCTTTTCTGGCCGGTTCTGGTGGGAGCCAGCAGTTCTGCTCTGTGCATAATCGACTCAGAGCCTTCAGAGGAACATGCACATTCTGGACTCTTTAGGCAGGTGTCCCAGTTGGCAGAATCGAGACGCTTTGCTTTGCACAAGGGGCGTGAAAAATCTGCTATCAGCATGGGGTTTGCTGTTAGCTGGAACTAAATCAAAGCTGCTTGCTAGTACTATAACCGATTCCACCTTTCTTATTTAAATCTTACCACGGAAGAATGCAAAACAGGAGCATCTCTTGGCGAGAGGTCCATGAGTTTTCCAGAGCAACAGCCCTGAATCTCATTGTGAACTAGAAGTGGAAACAGGCGCAAAGCAGGCGGCAGTGCATGGGTGGTACGGTCAGCACAGGCACGACCACAGTGTGGTGCATTCTGGGTATTACTGGAGAGCACAGTGATGCCACTATCACTGCTGGGTCACATGACTCCGGAGTGTCTGTTGCCACTCCTTTGCAACCTCACCGGTCGGTCAGTGAACTCAGCCGGCCGTCGGGTTTGCAGTCGCGGCCTGGAACGCAATGCCACCTTCCTGCTGTCCTTTATGGCTACGTAAAGTAAACTGTGACATGAGTCACTGATTTAGCCCAGATTTCTGTGTCATTTAGGCAGGAATTTTCGCTTCTGCTGGACAGATCATATGTCCTTTTCTATCGGGAGGGGCAGGGGGAACCTGGCCCTAGAGATGACTGAGTAGGGTATGTGACCTCCTTGCTTTCCCTGAGATGGGCAATATAATCACAAATAGCCATTCAAACCTACTTTGGTACAAGAGCGCAATCCTACACAATGGTACAGTACGTATCTTATGGGCGCTGTGAAATAATGCCCTCTGAGTACTGGCATATATTGAGCCTGGCTCAGCACTCAATGAGAAGGCAGACACCCACCTTTGACATGTGATACCTTGCCCAGAGTGGTAGTTCCATATGTTGGGGGGGGGGGGGGGGTCATTTGATTTAGCCGCAGCATTTCCCAGTTCTGTGGGCAACTTCAAAGCATGTGGTTAACTAGGCTTGTACCAGGAAGAAAGTAACAAGATAACCCAGATATTGCAAAATATGTTAAAAAAAAAAATTCAGTTTTATAGCTGGAAGCCATAATATACCTACTTGTTGCTTTGGAAGTTTTCTCACTCTGGCTGGGATCTGTGTGTTTTTGCCTTGACCTCCACCACCACCCTTAGCACACGCTGCTGTCTTCCCAAGCACGCAGGTGGCACTGTGAGGAGGAAATGCAGGCACAAAGCAGGACTGCTACATTAATGGCAGACAGACTATGTAGCCTTATTACCAAGGACAAGGTGACCCTTCTTTGGTGGCCGCGGTTATACGCCGTGGCTGGCGAGGGGAGCAGCAGCGAAGGACTGGGGAGTGTCCACTTCTGCTTTCAAACTCCACGTCAGTTCTATGAAATAAGCAAACAGCATAGGAAAACAACCAGAGAACTTTTTAAAAGTCAGGGATGAGTAACCCGTGGTAATGCAAATCAGGAAAAAGAGATCAGCAGCTATCAATCATAACCCCCAAAACAACATGCTTATCCAGGGTGACGACTGTCTAACGTGGATCAGCTCTCTGGTATATTTGTAACCCATCTGCGGTTCAGTTCACAATAAACAGTAAACAGTTTGCACCGCCACTGAGCAATATCTGAACTGCTTGTCATTCTGAGTGGTGGAGTAATGGAGTAATACTGGCACAGTCATATCTGTTCCTTGCAGGCCATCCCTAGTTTATAGGTGAGGCCAAAACTCCCATTCCGAGATTTTACGTGGCAGGCTGTTTTCCAGGAGCACACAGGTGTGCTTTTGGTTCTTACTGGCACTGCAATATAGGTCTCCAAAGAGAACCGTCATGAAGGTGCCGTTTCATAAGGGCTGTTACAAAGGGTGCCATTTGAAGTAGATCCAGCCCGGTTGGCCGTCGTCATCAAAGCCAGTCTCTCAGTGCAAAACTGTGACCTTGTGAAGCTTTGCTGTGGTTTGTCGGCCCACCCACGTGAACTTGCACCTGGGATCCTGCATACCGTCCAGCTGTGAAATCTGAAGGGTTGACTCACAGAGGTCATGCAGGAGCTGCAAATGGCACAAAGCCAGCAAAAACACTCTGGAACTATGGGTATGTAACATAGAACAACAACGATCCTGAAAATGCAATATGCACTGTATGTCCAAATGGCAATGGCTTGATCAACTATAAATGCAAACAATGTTGGAGAAATCCGTGTGTGACACCCTGTGCCCACTTGGGAGGGGTGTTCCTGCTGGCTACAAAGGAACTGAAACATTTGTGCCTCGGCATTCCAGAAGGTGCATTTTGAGCACTTATTTGCGTCATGTGAGTCAGCCGTAGAACCATGTCCCTTCAGAAACGGTACCAGCAGCATCCCCTGTCATCCGCTGACTGTCTGGAAAGAAGCAGGCTGAACTCTTTGGCCATTTGCCTTTAAAATAAAACTTAGGAGAATTTCCAAAAGTCCTATTTTCATTATATAATCTTAAAAACTCTGGCCAAACAAGCAAAACACAAGACTCATAGCTTGCATCACTCTTCCTTCTACATTTCACAAGAATTGTTATAGGTGTAGTCATTAATTTGGACGAGTTCCATCACCCCACATATTCAAGCCAATGGTTAACTGCAGACGTAATGGATAGATGCGCACTCCTACTCTAATTACAGGGTCCCAAACAAAGGACTCCTACACTAATTCCAGGGATCTCATACAAAAAACCCATAAAACACGTATCATTTTTGAAACCGGTACTGATTGTACTTGTTTGTTTAGCTGCACATGAAAAGTGTGAATCTTCACAGTTTTCTAAACTTTGTATTAATGATGGTCATAATATGCTCGCCAATATTGTTGTGCGTCTCCAACATGGGCAGTGCCACGGGTGGGCCTAGAGGGCTTTCTTACAATCCCTTTTAACAATCACGGTCACCATGTCGTCACGTGTGACAATTTCTTGACAAAGCCCAGAATGTTATCTGACCTTAGAAACGCATCTGCTTCCCACCCCTAACCCTCCACTGCTGTCGTCCCTCTTAAACAGTGGTGTAACAGCAGTGTAACAGCAGTGTAACAGCATTCTCTCCCACGGAGGGTCACAGTATCTGTTGGTTTTTAGCTCTGACCCTGAAAACAGCGTCGCTAGAACAATTAAGGGCTAGGCAAGATTTAGTTTCAGCCAAGCAGTTGAGTATAAAGAGTCACAGAGTAACTCAACTGGTTGGTTGAAACTAAGTCTTGGTCTGGATTTTTACTTCCTGGAGCTGAGCTGTCCACCTCTGGGACTAGCATTCATCAATCCCCCAATTCCACTCTTCAGAGAAAATTCAGGAAGAAGGTCCTTGCAGCATGGGATCTATGTTATCCTGAGAGAATTAGGTATGCCAGTCATGAGGATGCTTAAGGTTGCAGGAATTTGTGACGGACTGTACGTATTATTTCGCTGATCTTATTGGAGTGTATCCAAATGTACCTTCTGTGTACTGTATGTGTAGATCTTCGGAGACGAACTCCCTTCATGCGCATCCTGTGCTCTCCACCAGATTAAGATCAAACTGGGTTATCTGCCCGAGGGTCACATGTCGGCTTCTTTATAGTGACTTTGCATAAACTGAGAAGCAGAAGACAAAATAAAAAAGAAATTAACCTTCAGCATTAACAATATATACATATTTTGATCCACTTCAGCTTGTAGACACCCATGGGACTTCATTTAATTAGGTCATATGGGCTGTACGGGGTTAAATTCCAGACCACAGCAAGCGAAATTCCCCACACCTGCATTCCTGATATTTGCATGGTTTGTCCGGGGGTTTCAACACACTGGTTATGCAATCATCTTGTCGGGAAGCGGCAAACACACGTCGTGGGAGTGTGGTGGCTCAGCGCGGGTACTGTGTCCTGTGAGCATGGAAGAGCGAGGTCCTCTGGGGCTGCCCAGGGAAAGGTGCACCATGGAACAATCCAGAAAGCAGAATGGACACTCAGATGGTGTTACCATGCATGGGTCAAATGGTGGGAAGTAGCCCTAGTGATTCTGTCTGCTGCATGACACAAGAAATCCGAAAGAACCTCAGAGACAGAAATGCAAATAAATGCTGTGTACAATCATGATGTACTACACACACATATACACACACATATATACACACACACACACACACACAGACCTGTACTCATATCTTTGTGGGGACTGTCCATCCATTCCTATGGACATAACACTAAGAAAAAGGTCCCCACAATGTAATGTATATCTGACCCACACACACACACAAACAGACCTGTTCTCATATCTTTGTGGGGACCATCCATCCATTCCTATGGACATAAAAAAATGATCCTTAAAATGTCAAAATAAATGTCCCCACAATGTAATAT